GATTCTACCTTAGACCAATTAATTTACAATCTCTTGGGGGTGGGCCCAGGTACTGTTTTTTTTTTTAATGCTCTCCAAGTATACAGCCAGGATTGAGAACCAGAGCGCTAAACACATAAAAATAGTCTCTATCCCCAGCTTTTTACAGTTTAAAAAGTGAAGCACAAAAATCAATTATTTCCCAAATGTATTGTTTTTGTTGATAAAGCTGTCTTTGAAACCCAGAGAGGCAATAACTCATTAAATACTAATTCATCTTTGTGATTTTTCAAGGGAAAAATGTTATTCTTGCAGGTGAAAATGATTACACTGAAGTTGAAAGGGGTTAAAGAACTAGCCCAAAGCATTTGAGAGGCACCACGGATGCAGGAAGACAACTAAAGTCTACTATGGTCCCACAATTTAACCAAATACATTTTACTGGATTAGCACTTTAATAATGGCCACTTCATAAAGTAATCCAAAACTGAATTAAGAATCAGGGAATATAATAAAATGGAGATATGATCCTAAAAAGGAATACTGAAGATGTTAAATTAGACTACAAAAAGTTTTTCCTTCATGTGAAGACTAACAATGGACACTGTATTTACCAACTTGTCTAATAAGTATATCCTAAAAATGTAAAAAAAATTTTTTTAAATAAATCTTCCAGAAGACATATGATAATGCTTCCAGAAAATAGTCTTAAAATGACTAATATGTTATATCCTGTTGTAAACATTTTTCTTAACATACTCAGATAAATCTGAACTCTTCTTTAGTGCCATCTCAACTACAAAAAGGGGTTTTGTGTTTAGATGGAATGATACTAACTTTGAGAAAATCTATAAACCTTAAAAGGTGAGTAGTAGTGTTTTCCTCCAACACAAAACACAATATTAGGCCCGTGTTCTTGCTTCACAATTACCTTAAAAGACCACATACCTCAAGAAAATCAACACATTTTTCCCCCTAAAGGTGAGCAAGGCACTTCAATCAGCACCACTGTTACTGACACCTCAATACCTCCAAGGGGACCCAGTTTCTAAGAATGGACCAACAAAGAATCTGAGATGCTACTTGGGAAGTTCTTTACCTAATCTGAAGGGGACCTTCAATCTCAAAACCAGTTTCAGTCCATTCTTGCTATTTAATGGCTGTCCCCTATGGGGAATACACATCAAAACAATTCTACTGGTTAATTCGATTTCTTCGCTTGGTAAAAAAAAAAATCTTACTACAGCTTGTAATACTTCAAAGAGTCTGACTTTACTATATTACCATTTCTACACTCATGCTGAAAAACATTACAGCTTCACCTCACTTCACATAAATCACATCTGAAAACTGATAAATAAAATCATACTTTAAATACAACACTAGGAAAGTTTACCATTTTAGTAATCCTATTAATAATCCTTCATTTTAAAAATATTTTTAATCTAGATTTTCATATATCAAAAAGAATGAGAACTAACATTCTTTGCCTATTTTTAGGCACTTAAATTATTTCACTTAATCCCCACAAGCCTGGGGAGATTGAAGGTATTATCCCCATTTTACAGATAAGGAAAATGACTCAGAAAGATTAAAAATTTACCTTTGACCCAGGACTAACCTCAGGGACCCAACTCCTTCTATCACACTGCTTCAAATTTACATCAAAACAGGTTAAACAGCAAAAAAACTGAAATCATTTAACCTAGGTCCCAGTGTCAGCTGCAACAGCACCCACGTAAGTAACAACAGGGCTGAAACTAATCTGTAACAACGGAGCTGAAACTAATCTGTTTAGGCCTCGACTTTCTCATCAGTAATATGGGAATAATATTGGTCTTGCAAAAAGCTGCTGAGATGACCTAATAAGATACAATGTTTTTAAAAATACATTGAGCTGTGGATTGTCACACAACAGCATTACCTCATTAGGTGTGAAAAAGCAGATAACAGGGGTTAGGGGTTACACATCTTTGGACTGCTTCACATGTCATGAACAATACTGTTTTGTAATTTAAAAACAAAGAAAAAGATAAAATAATTTTAAAATGCAAAAGTTACATAAATGTAAGGTGTCAACTACATTACCAAACCAATGCTTCCAGAGTCTTAAACAGAATAGGCTACACAGATCCCATTGTGAATAATAGATTTTTTAGAAGTTAAAAGTTTCCTAATTGTTGGTTATCAGATGAAAAGTTTAAGGTAGAAAAAGTCCTATGCTAACAAATTCTAAATATAGAAAAAATGATTGATAAAATGCTCCTAATTTTATTTTCTAATACCTAGCTCTCAGGTAATACAGCAGCTTATAGAATTAACATAACGTGAGATAAAAAGGTGTTTTGAAAAAAAAATTTTTGAAGCTTTACAATATAAGGCAGTTTAATCTTCAAGACCCACATAACAGTTTCTCATTTTAAAAGAACTTTTCAACAAGGTTTGTTTATTAAATACTTTCTACAATAAAACAACTTATTCTGAACATTTTTGCCATTAAAATCCTGTAACCTACTTACTAAACGATTTTGCTCAAATAAACTTCTTACAGATGAAAAGGCTGGATTATTTTGTTAATCCTTACTCATAGTATGCTTTGAGGAAAACTAGTTGGCACCTTTCCAGTTCAGACCCATGTGGACAAAGTGTAACATAAGCAGGCTGGTATAAACACTTGAAAGATCTTGGATGCCCCTAGATATCTGAATCACTCCACGGTAAGATTATATTTCAGAGCAGAAAGAAAAATTCTCTTTCATACACATACTAAAGGGCTTTCCACTGTTTTTTGTTAAGGCCACAAATGGAAAAAACTACTACTGGCAGAAAAAACACAACGCTGTGGTATCAAGTACACTGCCAAAGTACCAAATGAAGCAACTGAATGTATCTGGAGTAAAAGTAGTTTTTCCTACTAGTGTGTGATCCAAGTGAGGGTCTTATTTCCTCAATAACATTTGGGTAAATTTATCCTGAATATATAACTTTCCTTATGAGAATACTATATTTTCATGGAAATATCTAGAATTAACATAAAGTTCTAATTTATTTTTCTCTGCTGGTGACAAAATACTATAAATAAAACATTTATGGCACCTTCAACTTGTTGAACCATACGTCATGTAACTTAGGTGATTACTGACGCTATGCATGTTTTTGCCAGGCTTTTAAAAGCAAAATGTGTCAAAGCTGCATCTCCTAGCTTGAAACCAACCATATGTTTAATATTCAATTATTTTTATTGAACCATAGTAAATAATATTAACAAATATTAAGGCACTAGAATATCTTACTAAAAAGTAAATTAAATACATATGAAAGAAAAATGCCAGCACCAAACCTTCGAACTGCAAAAATAATGACAATTTAATGAAAAAAATAGCATAAAAAACTATAAGGTCTTAATTAGGTATAAAATTTAAAATCTATCGATAGCAATTCAATGTCCTAATAAATAAGATGATATTCTTTTATAGCTATGACATCACTCAAGAATTAAAGTCTTGGCAATGCCTACCATTGTGGTCTACCATTTCCCCATGTAAATGGTAACAATTTTTGTATTCTAAATGATTTATCAAATGATAAATGCCATAGCACAGACTAAACATATCTTAAAACCTCTTTCCAAAAGCCAGTCTGATTCTGACTGTGGGATGTCCTTGACTTATCAAGCACCTCAAGAATCAGGGCAGTGTAGGGTCTGAATGGGGTTCTGGAGCTATTGTAAATCAACTGTGATTTGATCTGGGGTTTTCTTTAGACTCAGAAGAGCAGCTCAGTGGCATGTAAATACAGTATTCCTACATTTGCCAAACTAAGGCTGGATCCATAGGCCCAAAGACAAATCAGAACCAGATTGGCCTTGAAGGGATGCTGGAGCTTTTTCAAATGGATTGAAAAATCTGCTGAACATTTATCTATTTTAGTATGAACCTTTAATTTCCTGGCCTTACAAAACAGATGATTTAGATGTCTATCAGGTTTCTATTGTTGCAAAAATTTTTTAAATGTCTAAGAACATTATCATCTTGTTCCATGATGATTTCTATCTCATAAAAAGCAAAGATATTGAAAGCCTAAGATTAAAAGTTAGTAATACACAAAGAATAAACTACAACACCAGGAAACAACTTATTGAAAATCCTCTAAACCTAGTGGGAAAAGTGAGCCAAAAGAAGTGCCAAGTTCTCCTGCAAGGCACTAGGCACGGATACCAATTTGAATTACTGTACAAACCTACAAAGTCCCTGGAATCACTGCCTGGCAAACTAAGTTACCATTCCATTACGAAGAAACATTATCTACTCCTTAATACTTCCAAATAGACAGCGTGTATCATCTCAGACAATAGAATATTTTAACTCTTCCTATTCTCTGAGCTAAAGGATAACATTTCAACCTAACGATGCCGCAAATAAGATACTACACTGGTCAGATTTTCAGGCTTTTTAAGTACAACTAAAGGCCAGCTAACTTGTAACCGTTGTTTGCCTTCGGATTCCCGATTTGATGACTCTTAGGAACAATCAATGGGGAAATGGAGTTGAGAAGAGGGTGGGTGCAGACGGCTTTATAATTGGGAAAGTACAGGACTAGCTAAGAGTGGCCGAAAAGAGGAAAAGACTCCGGAAAGTGAGGGTCGGAAGATAAGTCCGGTTGTTAAAGCTACACCAGGAAAGGGCAAGCCTGAGGGAAGAGCGAAGAACTCCACCTCGCGGGACGCACGAAGAGTCCCGGTAGGAAGGGCCGGTTAAGCAAGCGCGCAGGTGGGGAGGGGTGTTGGCCTCCCCTCAACTGGGAAGAGTTAAGGTGAATTAGGGAGGAGTGAGAAAAGAAGCAAGACTCCTCACATCAAACCTGTTTGCAAAAGGAGAGGGGGGGCAAGGCATCGTGGGGAACACACCACGCGTCCCAACTGGGCAGGAGAACGAAGCCCCAAAGGAAATGGCTCTGCTGGCGCAGAGGCAAGCGGAACCAGCCCCTGCGCTCGCTCTCCGGGCTGCGCCCTCGGAGGTTACCTTTGAGCTGGGGCAAGGGGTGCAGCTCCGCCTGGCTGCCCTGGCTGCGGAACTGCGACGAGCCCTGGGAGCGCTTCTGCCTCTGCGCCTTGCGCACCGATTTCCGGGTGAAGCCGTCCACTTTCTCCGAGGCCGAGATGGCGGCGCTGGCAGCCCCCGCCGGCGGCGACGAAGACGACATCTCCGCGGCCCTGGCGCTTGGCAGCTCCGGCTGCTGCTTGCAAGGCACGGGCAGCGGCGGCAGGAGGAGGAGGGGGAGAGGCGCGGAAAGCTCGCGCCCCTTCGCCCCAGCCCCACCGCCCTCCGGCTCCGGGACGCCGCCGAGCTGCTCCTCGCCACCCGCCGACGCCTCACGGCCACATCTCAGCGCCCGAGGTTCCTGGTCCCCGCCGCGCGGCGAGCTCCCGGGGCTGACGGAGGGAAGGGCGGGGGCGGAGGGGGGTGAAGAAGTTGTTGACTCCGGGCGCGGAGGGCGGGTGGAAGGGAGCCCGAAGTTTAGACAACTGAGGCGAGGGCGCGGGGGTGCAGACGCCGAGCGCGCCGCTCGTCCCTTCCGCCCCGGTTGCCAGCCAGCCGGCCGGCCAGCACCTCAACGGCCGCTGCCCGCGCAGCCCGCCCTGCCTGGAGCCTCCTCCCGGGACGCTGCCATTGCAGGTCCCCTCGGAGCCGCAGCCGCGGTGCCCGCTCTTCCCGGTCAGGGCCGGCCCCTCATCGCCCGGGGCCGTGGCTCGCCGCCCCGGCCCTCCGCGTGCACACCCTCGCTCCTCTCAGCAGTGAGCGGTCCGAACCCCTCCCCCGCGCGCCCGTCGGCCGCCCACGGAGAACCCCCGGTGAGCGACCGCTACAACTTGAGAAGGTGGTTGGTACAGGAAAAGGGGGAGTGTGTGTGCGTGCGCGCGCGCTAAGGCGCGCGGCCCGGGGGAGGGGCCTCGGGGGGCTGGGGAGGGAGGAGTTTGACTGACAACTTCCGCGGGGTCCCGCCAGCCTCTCGGTGCTGCGGAGGGGGTCGGGGGCGGGAAACCATGCCAGCTCCCTCAGCCAATCGCAGGGCTAAGCGGCTGGCACGGGATGAGGCGTGGCCTCCTGGGCGGTCTACCTAGTGTTGGGAGCTGGGCGGTGAGACAGAGTGGGGCGTGGCTGCGTGACGGACTTCGCCCACAGCCAATCGTAAGTGAAGGAGGCGAGCGGGGTGCCATCTGCGTCAGTACAGTGTAACAAATCTCTTGGGAAGGAGGGGAAGTGCCCCTCCACCAGCGGGCACTTTTGCACGCCTGCGCGGCAGCTCCGGCTACAATTGCTCTCCTGACAGCCGACGAGAAGACCGGAAAACTAGCGAGGGGGAGTTCAGAAAGCAAAAGACAGCGCCCCTTCCCTTTCCTCTCCCTGCTGGCCAATGAGGAACTGAAGCGACTGGTGGGGACCCTGAGGGCTCGGGCGTGAAAGAGCGCCAGGTGTCACGTCACTGAAAAGGGGCGAAGCAAGGCGGGTGGGCCAAGGAGCTGTGGGATTGACCGGCGAAGGAGCCCGGGGGAAGGCGAGGACGTGAGCTCGTCCAATCGTTTCGCGGTACCGAACTCCTGGGCGGGTCTTGGAGCCCCACTGGCCCCAAGCCGCGTAATTAGTAGTTGCGAAATAAATTTGTAGCTCTCTGTGGTTAAGCACCGCAGCTGCCTGAGAGCTGCTCCCGCGTGGGGTTTGGGCAATCTACTACTTCAAAGAGTTCTGCAAGTGCACGCCCTTCAAAAAGAGGTTTCTCGTTCCCAATTTAGTATTCTGCTAATTTTCAGTCCTCGTTGAGCCCAAGGCCTTCAACTACTGCAACGGGAAGAGTATGAGTTCACTGATCAGTGGTTTGTGGATTTGGAGGCTTGCCATGTACACTTACTGGGATCTTTTCTTTAGAGATTCCATCTAGACTTTAAATTTCTTTAGGACAAGGACTAGTCATAGTTTTTTGTGCAGTGCTTTCCATTTAATGATAGTTAATAAGTAATCTGAACAGTCTTGTCTCCTTTTTCGCAGGTGGACCCAAATCTGCCGTTCTCTCCCTCAAGCTCCAGACCTTTTTCCTTTCTACATAATGAACATAGTTTACATATATTTAAGCAAAGCTACCTGATGCATATGTACAGAAGATTCCAACTTAAGACAAAAGCATTTCCTCCTTCAGATTCCCTGGGTGGTGAAATTGTACACAATCCTCCCAGTCAAGGAGGTTCAAACCTCAGCAGCATCTGTGACGCTTTCTCTTTCTCATCCAGTCATCCTCCAAATCGTGTTAAATCTACCTTCACAAACATTCAAAACTAGGCCTTCCTCCAAATTTGTACAACCAACCGCCACACATAGTTCAGGGCTTTCAAACTCACTGCCAGATCAGTCTTTTTAAATGCCACTTTTGTCTCATCTACACGTTTGAAGAACCACCTAGTACCTACAAAATAGAGTCCAAGGCTTTCTTCAATCTGATTTCCCAAGTGTAAATCCTTCCATGTGTCTACACACACTCTTTAGTTCAGACACATCATTCTACATACTGATCACCTAAAAGTAGTTGTGGTTCCTCGACACTTAGTCTTTGCTGTTCCAACACCTTGAAATAATCCACTTTTTTTCCATCTTGTTGAAATCGTTCTTCAAACCCCAGCTTAATCCCTATCATCTATGAAGCTGTTCATGACAATCCAGCCAGAAGTGATGTCTCCCTTCTTCTATTCCTATGGTATTTATTGTCCACATCACTCACTGTCATCACATACTGTGTGAGATGGCAGTATGCTCTTTCTCCCCTGAAGATTTGTAAACACCAAGAGAACAGGAACTCGGGTATTTACACCTCTGTAGTCCTCACTGAGCACAGGATAGATGTGCAGTACATAACCATCAAATTTTTAGTTCTCAGGGTTTCTGAAAATGTGATTATTGCATTACCTACATCAGAATCCTCTGGGGTGTTTATTTAAAATGCAGATCCCTGGACCTCACCCTCGACACACAGGATCAGAACCTCTGGGAAAAGCACTGAGAAATCTATGTTTAATAAGCTCCCTAGGTTATTCTTGTGTACACAAAAGTTTGGAACAACTATTCTCTAGTCATCTGGATGTTATTAAAAATAGATTGTAAATGTCTAGATTTCATGAGTAGTACTATTTATAATAGAGATAATTTACGTAAAATAAGGGGAGACATAGCAGAAAGCAAACGAATCCAATAAAGCTAAAATTCATACTGGAATATGATAGATAATAGATACTGGAAACAAGTGGTTGGGAAGTTTGGAACCAACAAAACTACCTGGGCTTTGTCTGAAACAGCTTCCTGGGGAAGAATTTTAAGCACAATTTTAAATAAAAATGGAGTCAAAACCTGAAAAGAGAGAATGGTATTCTAGATTCAAGTCACCAAACATTTTAGGGAGGAAAGAATAATAGCCCAAGGATCAAAAGGCCTGACTTTATATTAATTATCAAAAGTGTGATCCTGTCCAGTCACTCATTCTGTCAGAGCCTTGCTTTCCACATTTGTACCTCAGAAAAAAATAAATGAACAGCCTTCTTCACAGAGTTGGCATGAGTTTTAAATGTGACACGTGAAAAAAAACAAGGAAATGAAAATTATACAGATGATAATTTTATACATACATGTATTGATCAAACATTTACTTTCCATTCACTGTCTTGAGTAAGTACGGTATCTAGGTCCTAGACAGTGATTCGATTACTAAGAATTATCTAACAGAAAACTGCAAAATATCGGCACTTAACTGTGTCCCTGAAGCAGGAAGAGTGTCTGATTCCATGCCATAGAATTCCAACTCCTTCCCATATGTGAAGATCCTGGATAAAAAGCAATTCAGAGGCCAAGACTTCATCACCAGCAAATTCCTTGGATTGGTTTGTCCTCACATGACTTGACTTCTTTAGTTCATAAACATGTATGCTTACTGATCTTATTCTTTTGCTGGGAAAAATGATTCATGCAACAATAATATCCCCAATATCAAAATCACGGTTGTTTAATGATTTTAGAGTACATCAGAGAGAGCGTTCTTTTCAAATCGCTGTGAAGTTCTCTAAAGCCTATCCAAGCAAAGTTTTGACTGTCAACATTCTCTTTCCCAAAGTGCTCCAATACAACACCAGACCAAAGTGCTTTATCTACAGAATCAAATAATAGTGGTATTTTCCAAATTTACAAAAATAAAACTTCTCCTGTATATCTCTTTTAAAATGTTTGATTCTTACTACCACTTTACTAGAATCTAAATCAATATAGTATCTGATTTATCATAAAATATGTTAATTTTCAGTGCCTCATTTCTCTTTATTTAAATATGTTCACATTGTTTAAAATTAAAAAGGAGTTAAAAGGGTAACAGGAAAAGTCTCACTCCCACCCCTGTTTCCCAACATCCAGTTCCCCTCTTGGATGGCAACCAAGCTATCAGTTTTCTTATATTTGTTTCCAGAGATATAATTTGTTTAAGTGTTTGTGGCTTAACAAATTCACATTTTAAGAATCTGCATGAGAGTGTGCCAAATCCTAACCACTAGACCACCAGGGAAATTGATATTGTTAAAATGTCCATACTACCCAAAGCAATATACAGATTTAGTGCAATCCTTATCAAAATTCCAATGGCATTCTTCATAGAAATAGGAAAAAAAAATCCTAAAATTCACGTGGAACCACACGCACAAAAAAGAAGGCTAAAGCAATACTGAGAAAGAAAAAATAGGAGGCATCGCACTTCCTGATTTAAAATTACAAATTTTAAATTACAAATCTATAGTAATCAAAACAATATTGTACTGACATAAACACAGACACATAAACCAGTGAAACATAATAGAGAGCCCAGAAATAAATTCAAACATGTACGGTCAACTTATTTTTGACAAGGGCATCAAGGGAACACAATGGGAAAATGATAGTCTAATAAATGGTGCTGGGAAAACTGAATTTCCACAAGCAAAAAAATGAAATCGAAAATGAAAAATGAAATTATCTACACCATACACCAAAATCAACTCAAAATGGATAAAAGACCTAACTGTAAGACCTAAAGCTGTAAAACTCCTTGAAGAAATCATAGGGGAAAATCATTGCCTTGGCAATGGTTTTTTGGATATCATGCCAAAAGTTCAGGCTACAAAAGCAAAAATAAATAAATGGTACTATGTTAAAATCAAAAGCTTCATGATCTTACTAAGTATTTGCCATTTTCATTTTTTAAGAAGAACAACTAAAAAGCTTCTGCACAGCAAAGGAAACAATCAACAAAATGAAACCAATGGACTGGAAAAAAATATTTACAACTAAAAAATATTTACAACTATATGTCTGATAAGTGGTTAGAATCCAAAATGTATAAAGAACTCTTACAACTCAATAGCAGAAAAACAAATAACCCAATTAAACAATGGGCAAAGGACCTGAGGAGACATTTCTCCAAAGAATACATAAAAATTGCCCAATAGGTATATGAAAAGGTACTCAACATTACTAATCAGGGAAATGCAAATCAAAACCACTATGAGATACCACCTCACACCTGTAAGGATGGCCGTTATCAAAAAGACAAGAGATAACAAATGTTGGAGAGGGTGTAGAGAAAAGGGAACCCTACCACACTGTTGGTAGAATGTAGATTGATATAGTCATTATGGAAAATGGTATGGAGGTTCCTAAGGAAATTAAAAATAGAACTACCATATGATTCAGCAACCCCTATTTTGCATATATATCCAAAGGAGATGAAATCACCACCTTATAAAGATATCTGTGCTCTCATGTTAATTATAGCATTATTCACAATAGCCAAGATATGGAAACAAATTCAATGTCCATCAGTGGACTAATGGATAAAGAAAATGATTTTATACACACACACACACACACACACACACACACACAT